CTAGTGACATATGGGTTCCTGTGCGGATGCCTGAATGTTGTCAGTATTTTCAATTTTAATATTAATGACAGACAGTGGCTAGCAGTAGAATCTAGGATGCGCTTGTCGTACTCTTTAGAACTCGTCGTCTGGATAGAAGTGACCGGTCAGGGGGTTCGAGTCACGGTTGGAACTATATCACCCACTAGGAGGAAGGTATATCCAGCTGACGCTAGTCCTGGTTTCCATTGATTATCACTATCCAAAACTAATATCAAGTCTGCAGTTATTTCATTTTTGGTTTTTTTATTTAGTATAGCACAGTGGTACAGTATGACTAACAGTTAACAACACTGCATCAATGCATGTTGAATTGGATAAATTAATTTAGTTTGGAATTATGATTTAGCGAGAAGCTCAAGTTTTACGCTTATATCAGTACACAGTTATACTACTAGGTGAAATATATACACGCGCTACAACTGATCAACACTGAGTCGCTGACATAATAAATAGTAGTTTCGACTTTCATTATTATTACTATTATTATTTGTCCCTAGTGGAACATAGGGCTTCACAAGCACGTCTCCATTCCACTCTCTTCTCTGAAATCTTTTGAACCTCACTCCACGACTGCCCACAACCTCTCATTTCCTCCTCAGATGATCTCCTCCATGTCACCGTCGTCTCCGGTGCCCAACTCGTCGCTTCCCATCTGGGTTCCACTCGAGTACCTGGCCTGGCGTATAGTGTCCCTTAATGGTTTTCTCAGTGCATGCCCAATCCATCCCCACTTCCCTATTCTGCATATTTTTGTTCAGCGATGGATTCTCGGTCGGTTCTTTGTCAGCCAGAATGAGTTCCTCATTCGTATTCTTTCTGGCCATCTGAGCTTCAGTATCGAGCCAGCGTAGGCACTTGTTGATGAACGTCTGTAGTTTGTTGGAAATTCCTTTCGTAACGCGCCAAGTTCCTGAACCATATAGGAGCACTGACTTGACTGACATTAGTGTTGAAAATCCGGATGTTGTTCACGCTTTATGCTGGGTGCAGAAGATCTCCACACTGGTTTCAGAATTCTCTGGATGGTTATTTGGTTAACTTGGCTGAGTAACGGTAAGACACATTTTGAAATATGGTTTCTCTGAAATGCAAAATCTCTCCGTAGTTTGCCTTTGATTGCCAGATATAAACTACAGAACAACCTGGTTTGTAAAAAAAACCACTCACTTTGGTCGGTAAATTTTGCTAGGCGTCCAGATCAGACTGGTCCGATCACCAGATGGTCGTTTGGCGCCGATCCAACTCATTAGCGGTGTACCCAGACAAATTCAGGTAGTTCAGTCAAATTAGTTTGTCACTTGAATCTGTCAGACTATCTTGGATGGATCGGATGATGAATTTGCGAATGATTTACAGATTGCACGGTACGTGTTGACATTACTCCCAGCTGAGTGGTTTTGCAGCTGTCTAGTTCTGATATCACCATGTTTTCCATTGGAAACCACGCACCCCAGGTCAGCTAGTGTGATCTCTGTCACAAGTGTTATAAATAGCAAAATATACTACTGAACAGTTTGAGTAGCTGGGAACTACTCACACTGATCTGTGGAGTTCGCCAGGTAGCCACATTGTAATGATGTGATCACCAGACGACCATTTTGTCCATTTAGGACTGAGCTCATCAACAGCAGATAACTGAAAGTTCGTGTTGAAATAAATGAAGTATTGTGCCATAAAACTGATCATGTAATTTTTATCACAACTTTCAAATATCACTTCCACTTCACTACATTTTCATGAGAACCGGTATCTGGTATGTTGCCCATAAGCTTTATGTAATGTGACTGACACTAGTGGTCATTATTTTGTTCAAATAATTACAAATACTACAATAAATGAGGAAATTAATTAAAATTACTCATTCTAGACACTTTATAAACGAAATAATGAATGCTGATATCAGTCTGGCCACATAAAGCTTACGTGGCAACATGGAGGTTACCGGCAGTGCATTTTCATCTGCTTGACACCAGAATGTTGACAAGATTGAAAACATGAAAGCTTTTCAATACAAATTATTGATTAAATAAGGAACTTTTATCCACTGAAGACATGAATTAGTTATTGAGCACTATCGATTCATTAATAGCCACATATAATAGACCATAGAATGTAGTACAAAGCTTTTCCCTTCTCACTTTCGGCACAATTTGTGGCATAAAAAAGTTCAAATAAATTAGTATGAATGATTACTTTACTAGTTGGTTGGAGGCAGTCATCAGGAAATCCTGAACTTAGGTTTCATTCTTGTAGCCACTCCGCAGCAAGGCGTATCTCCAACCTCGACAGGACTGATGTCCCGCCTGCTATCCGAACCCATGTCACCCAGTGTTGTAGTTAGTGATGTTACCAGTGAGTTATTCAAGATGTGACTGACCTTTTGTAGGACCAGTTTACATACATTGATTGGTCACAGGAGAGCAACCAACTTCATGTTGTCTAGTACTGACTGCTAAGCGAATTCCATCGATCATTTTTGTAATGTAGCCACCAAGCTAGGAGGCTCAGCACCAAGGTTTACATTGGTAGATGTTAGTTTGTTGGGAGCAGTCTGCAGGAAGCCTTGGAATCAGATTTCGTGCTTGTTGGCACACATTTACTTTCCCTTGGGAACCATAATGTAATTTTACAAATAGGTTTCACTTAATTTTAGCATATTTGCAAATACTTGGTTCGGTTCTAGGAATATTAATCTGCAAGAAAAGTCATTGGTACCAAAAAATAAAGCTTAGGGAAGTGATTTCGGTAGTGTTGTGTTCCCTGACCCAGATGGTGAAGGTTTAATTGTCATTTCTGACAAGTGTAACAGCACAAACTTCCTGAATTTTGTAATCTGTGAGCTAAATATCATTACGTCATTGTAGATTTTGTGTGGCATCATATATTCGAAGTTAGTATAGCAGTAATCTCCTAACCTACACTCCACGTTTGCTGTCACTGTTAAGTAAGGCGTATATGCTACTACGGAAATACACACCATCATTAAAGAATTTGATAAGGCGTGACCTTCAGCCAATGCCATCGTTGAGTAACTGTTCTCATATTCAACTTGATTTACTTCTCGTAGGAACTTCGGGAATCCCCTATCGAGGCTAGTCACAAATGAGTGTTAGATTAATTCTATCCGGAGGTTTGTGGAGATTTAGTGATTAATTTCAGGTTAGAATTCATCATAGACTGACATCAGTTGAAGGACAGTTACTCAACTACAGCACTGGATGGAGGTTGCGCTATATGGGGAACTCACAGAATTTGGAAATATGGACTACTGGATTCCCATCCACTGGATCAATGGTTACGTGGTGGCCACGGGAACTGGAGGCCCTGGGTTCGACCCCTGGCGTGGCCTGGCGGAGTGAGGGATGCACATTGCTGAGAAACCCATTTCTGTCCAGTGCTCCCAGGTTCACAATATTCCTCCAACTGATACCAATCCGTGGTGAATTTCAACCTGAAATCAGAGGATTTGAATCTGTACTGGTCGGCATCAATTTAAAAGAAGCTAAGCGATTCAAGCTAACCATAGCCTTTTGTAATAAGTGGATTGTGGGCATTAAACATCGCTGAATGAAAAACAATACACAAACATGCACAATCCAGTCAAATATTAGATAAACCACAACTTGTATGGCTGACCTAGGCGATAACAAGCCCCAAAAAGTGTGAAAACCAAATGCAGAAAATCTTGCCAACTGAGTCGGAACAGTTGAAGGAACATTGGAAAAGTAGGAGTATCGAACACCTGCTTCGTACTCTCATAGGACTCTTCAGCAGTGAGCACCCACCACCCCACTAGGGCTCGAACCCAGGACATTCAGGTTAGATGGCCAGCATGTTACCATTGACCCACTAGGTCGGAATCTAATCATCCATATTTCCAATTTCTATCAGTTCACGACAGTACGACCATCCCCAAAATGTTATCGTTAAGTATTTGTCCTCACGTCCACCGAATTCCCAATCTTCCTCTAAATGATGTCAGTCACTGATGAATACGAAACTGGAAAATCGCTAAATTCCCACAATTCCCTCGCCTCCCCCCCCCCCCCCCCAAGAAAACGAATGATTTGGAACACGTTTTACTTCATTCATTGTCTCTTAACTTCAACGTATATTCCTAAACTTTAAGAAAGGTGGAGTCTTCTGTTTGTGAAGGCTAAAATACTATTTGAATCTCACTAATCACTTTTCTTATCTGGAAAGTTAATGAAAATACAATCGCTATAAAGACAACATATTCAATATATGAAGTAACTGGATTAAAAAAAACATACAATCAATATAGCAGTAAATTGTTGTACGTGGAATGGCAAATTTATGCTTAAGAAATAGTGATTAATAAGAGGAGAATTATGAGTCGTTTTAAATTCAATCCCTGTGATAAAGTTGTTTTTTTGTTGCTTAAAATCCCATTAGGTTCATTATGAACTAGTTCCATAAATGTTCTTGTAAATAACGAATAAAACTAAGGGATTATTTACGGATCATTTTTGTCACGGCTCATCATCTCGATCATAATTACTTGAGAACAAATCAGGTAGTGTTATATTAAATGAAAGTTATTCTTTGGTTTCGACATCATTTATACCTTATAGGTTATTCATCGAAATGAGTAGTTTAAATACAATATCTATCAATTATTCTCGAGGCATTGAAGTATTCATACTTTCCCTTTCCCTTTCATTATCATGACTTGTTGTCCCCACATCGTTGATTGGTTTAGATAAAATTGGTTGACTACTAGTGACAAATAGATCCGTTTATAGGTACTTCGACACTGCTGCCAGTTTCAGTTTTATACTAAGGCTGATTTGTGGTTATCAATATAATCCACGATGTATGCTTCACTTTGACGTTTGAGGTTATGAGAGTTAGGTTGAAATGTTAGTGAGAAACATACTACAAAGTGGGGCATGTACATCCAACTGAAAGGCCACATATTGGAGGAAATATGCGTCATGAATTCTACTACTACTACTACTACTACTACTACTCACACTACTACTACTACTACTACTACTCACACTACTACTACTACTACTCACACTACTACTACTACTACTCACACTACTACTACTACTACTACTACTACTACTACTACTCACACTACTACTACTACTACTACTACTCACACTACTACTACTACTACTACTACTCACACTACTACTACTACTACTACTACTACTCACACTACTACTACTACTACTCACACTACTACTACTACTACTACTCACACTACTACTACTACTACCACTACTACTACTACTACTACTACTACTACTACTACTCACACTACTACTACTACTACTACTACTACTACTACTACTACTCACACTACTACTACTATTACTCACACTACTACTACTACTACTACTACTACTACTACTCACACTACTACTACTACTACTACTATTACTCACACTACTACTACTACTACTGCTACTCACACTACTACTACTACTACTCACACTACTACTACTACTACTACTACTCACACTACTACTACTACTACTCACACTACTACTACTACTACTCACACTACTACTACTACTACTACTACTCACACTACTACTACTACTACTCACACTACTACTACTACTACTCACACTACTACTACTACTACCACTACTACTACTACTACTACTACTACTACTACTCACACTACTACTACTACTACTCACACTACTACTACTACTATTACTACTCACACTACTAGTGGGCGTTGCTGATAACAACGGATATAAGTAGTAAGTATATATTTGAGAGGGTGGCAGGAATCATAGGGAATTACCGGCAATGGGTAAGGTTTCTGCCAAGAGCGACTCAGGAGACAACACAGGCGTGTTACACGGGATGGTGCTGATAAGAGTGTATGAAGAGCCGGTCAAGAGCAAATCAAGACAGGGACAGAGAAGAAACGAAGACATTTGCAAATGGCTGCGTTAGTGCAAGGAGAAGCATATGTAACCATTACCATTCCAATTGTTCGTAATGTTCAGTCTCTCGTTGAGCTATCTTCTGTTTCATCACTACTACTGACATTACTACTACTCCTACTACTCCTACTACTACTACTACATGCAAGTTTACTTACACAGGATGTTGGATTAGTTGTGATTTGCCATTAAGTGACTTAGTCTTAACATGAATACAAAAATCTCCAATAGCTTTCAACAGTTCGAGTCCCAAGTGTGATCGGTAAGCTGTGTAACTGCCTATTAAGTGTTAAAATGGGAGTTCAACTGAAGAAAGATCAATTTATTGGCTGAAGGTAACCACCTTTAGAGTCAGGTTTTTTACCTGTTGGCTGTCATCAGCAAAATGCCCAAGTTGAAAGGTGACATTTGTGCATGAACTATCAGACGTTTGCATTGAGCTGTAAAGGGAAATATAGACAATCTTGTCGGGATTCGTATAAGAGTCGAAATCAGTGATGATATGGCTCAGAATCGATATTTGTAGTATAGAAGCATCTATATATTATCTTCATCCGAATCCCTAAATAACACTTTTTTTTGTGTTGTACCTTCTTTTCTCCTCCTGAAAAACTCCTCAAATTTCGATTACATTTTTTCTACCTTTCTCTCTTCGGGCATTTTTGTTATTTACCCTAATATGCGATATAGCAATTTGGATTGTGTTATTTAATAGTATCAGGCTTACTAGTTTGCTATCTCTTACAGTAATGAAGTTCAGGTTAGGCAAAAACAAGTTTTTTCGAATTCTGATCTCCAGGTTAACATTATAATCAATTTTTATTTGCAAAAGGTGATACGCTTTTTAGTATATTACTTATCCGATCTGTGGAAACAGAGTTTTCAATAGTTATAAACCTAACCTTTCATTATTGTTATCTGAAAGTCAATAAAAATTAGTTAGGTTATGGAAGAAAAAATTTTTCCGTAAACATTTTTCCTCTTGTTTATAAAGTTTAGAACTTTCATTTCCAAGGATAAGACATCTCATGAAGGATACTTTAGATTATTCGAACAGAATTCAATTACAGTTCCTTGACTTGTGAAAGCTGATATTCATGGAACCAACGACTGATTGATTAAAAGTTCGAGAAAAAATATGGATACACTGATTCTGTTATGTATCTTGAATGGTCTCGATATCAAATGTAAACACAGTGTGATACGACTTGTAATGCTTATATCACGTACTTCCTGATTGTTAAGTTATTAGTATACCCTCTGCAATATACACCAAACAATAAGAAGACATAAATTGTCTGAACCGTGTAATGTATTTGCGCAACACATTTCGAACTATCTGATCACACACGTACTTGTCATAGGTATTTATATAAAAACTCATGATTTTTTTTTTTTAGAAAATAAAAAGGGGTCAGGTAGGAAGGCTGACTTAAAGGCCGAATAACAATGAAAATCAATAGAGCGAAAAAATAATAGTACATCGAACTTGGTTTTTCAATAGTTGAATTTACCAAGGAAGGTTTAATGTGACAACAAATTGTTTATGAATACATAAAGGTGGTTTCAACTTCCTAATAGCTAAGGCTTCAACAAATTTCAGGATCCCTCCCCAACATGTTTTGTAAATAGGTGTAAAGGAAGTAGCCACATCAATCTTGTGACCTGTCTCAACGATATGTTTAGCGATCGAAGAACTTGGACGTCTGCTACCAACATTTATAGGTTCAGGTGATTTAATTTGCTTCTGAAGCCACTTTGGAATATGTTCCGAGGCCCTTACTTGCATGGATCTATTAGTCCTCCCTATGTATGTGTCACCACACGTACATTTGAATTGGTAGATACAATGGGATGTGACATTATCGTTCACATGCTGTGGGGGTTTGGGGGAATATAAGGGCTTCGTGGTTTCGATTACTCGAACCCTGGCTGCATAGTAAGTCCTTCTAACAGCAGCGTTAAGTCTCTGCTTAAGGATTGCACTCTGAGAGTCACCTTTGTACGGAAGGCTGATGAAGACATCCTTCTTTGGGACTGACTGCAGTTCTAGTTTTGACGCTCTGCTGATTTTGTTCTGCCTGATAAATGTTGATGGATAGTTATTTTCCAACAAAATATCGGTCAGTGTTCCTCTTTCATCTTCTAAAGTATCCTCGGTGCATATTCGTTGAATTCTGCTGAATAGGCACCTTACTAACGTTCGCTTGTACTGAACTGGGCAAAAGCTATGGTAATTCAGATATTGCCCTGTCCATGTAGGTTTTCTGTAGATAGATCGTTTTATGGATCCATCCTGCCTTCGACTAATTAATATATCTAGGAACGGCAAGCAGTCATCTTCCTCTCTTACACATGTCAAAGATATGCTGTTCTGTACTTCGTTCAGTCGGTTTAGAATTGAAGTAGCCTGATTTGAGTTTTCACAAATAATCAGGATATCGTCAACATATCTTCGATACAGATGGGCTTGGTCTATTAAGTTCTCGGCTAAGTTCTCAACGTGTGACATAAATATGTCGGCTAGGAGGGGACCTAAAGGACTTCCCATAGCGACACCATCAACCTGGCGGAAATGTTCGCCCTCAAAGGTGAATTTAATATTGTTTGTACATAAAAGTAACAGCTGTTTTAGGTGATCCAAAGTAATGGGTATCGGAAACTTATGCACAGAAATATAATTACATAAAATGTCAATTATCTTGACCAAAGGGATATTGGTAAATAATGAGTTAACATCAAATGAACACATAAATTTACTCTTTATATTGACATGCTCAAGGCATTTGATTACTTCAAATGTATCTTTTAAGGAATACTTACAAAATTGCTTCTTAATGGGATACAATAATTCCACTAGCCACTGGGTAAGCTTATGCGTTGGTGACTTACACATTGACATTATGAGACGTAAGGAGTTGTTGGGTTTATGTACTTTGGGCAAACCGTAAAGATGTGAGAATCGGGATTAAGTTGGTTTCAATAAGGCGAATTTTTGACTGGTAATGACGTTCATTTATTATAAAGGGAACTAATTGTTTTAAACACCAAAAACTCAAAAATTAATCTGATTATAATAAGGAAAGGGGAACACCGAGTTCAAATTCACAAAGTTAGAAAGCTGATAGAAAAATGGAAATATTATTTTACTTCGAAATTATCCAAAGCTATTTCGTTGATTTGTTTGAAGCTTACTTCTTCTGACCTCTGTCTCAATCTATCAACATATGACTAGATTGTATTTCTTATTTAGTGTCCAACAGAAATAATCGTAAATAGTAGAATGAATTTAGAAGTATTAGTTATAGCTTAGAAGTTTTGGGGGATTTCCGGTATTCATCAAGAATTGATAGCAGTTGGAGAAACTTTGGAGCATTGGAGATCTATTCCATCGAAGTACGGGGCTCCTCAGTAGTGTACACCCATGACATTCAGGTCGTGTATCGAGCACTTTAACAATGAGTCAAAATCCAAAGGTTCACATTTTCCTACTTCTGTCAGTTCGCAATATGATATGACATTCATTCAAACCCATCATTGGGTTCCTGTTCTCATATCCTACTTGTTTTCTCCTGATTATCACGACTTCTTATTAGAACTTCTGAAATCACATCTTGAAACAATTTACTAATGAGTGTTCGACTAATTGCAAGTCAGTATTAATCTAGCATACATTTAAAAAAAAACGAAATTATGTTAACAATGTCTAATTCAATGTTCAATAAGAATGTTCACGTGTTCAATTAAAATTAAAATGTATATAAAAGAAAGAAATAAGTGTAAATAATATAGACCTTTGAAAGAGTGTATGGAGATATAAAGGTTTATAAAAATGTTCTACAGATGAATATATACAATGTTTGTTTAAAATTTGTTGAAATTGTTGAAAGCGCCTTATTTAAAAACAAAACAAAACAGTACATCTAAAAAAATTGCTATGTTCTCAGTCCAAATAAGGTCTCCATACATCCTTACTATTATTTGAAGTATTAACTGAGATTTGATTAGTTAATGAAATATTCTCTTTTGATTTCAATGATGTAATTATAGAATTAGAATAAGGAAATGTTTGTGGTGAATAAACATAATTATCTTGAGATTGACATTCATAAGATATATCATATTTATTTATTGTTTGTAGATTAATAGCATTCATATCATCTATTGTAGATGAAGATGAATACAATTCAAAATATCCACTATCTGTTGTAGGCAAAAGTAATTGAATCGGTGTAGAATGATATTCTAAATGATTTTTATTAGGATGTTGTATCTTTTGAATTGGTGTAAATGCGCTTAATTCAGATGGGATTAAAAAATTTTCACTTGAAGGATCATAATTTTCTTTTTCACATATAATTGATAATTGACTTTTATTTGAATAGGTATCTAAGTGATCTAACTTACTGGTAATACAATCATTATTATGATTATCAATCAATTCCTGACGTTTAATAAATGATTTATTTCCAATTGCATGACACATTTGTTTAAGTTTTTCTTTTAATTCTAGAGGATATTTTGAAAAAAAGAAAAGAGAAAATGATAAAGAATGTTTTATAAGTATATTATACGATGAAAATGGATGAAAATCATATTCTTTATCATTATCATTTATCCCTTGGGTTCCTAATGGAACACCAAGGGCTTCAGTAGCACGTCGCCATTTCACTCTCTTCTTCAACCTGGCCCCACCACTCCTCACAACCTTTCATTCATTCCTCACAGCCATTTACTCAATGTTACCGTCACCTCGGATGCCCAACTCGTCGTTTCCCATCAGCCTTCTGCACGAGGACCTGCCTATGCCCGATGCGTGATGTCCCCGAATCTTCTACTCATTGTATGCCCAATCAAATCCATCTGCAATCTCTTCAACTGCATATTCGTTGGGTGGTGGATTCTTGGTTGGTTGGTTTGTAGCCAGCCAGCCAGCCAGCCAGCCAGCCAGCCAGCCAGCCAGCCAGCCAGCCAGCCAGCCAGCCAGCCAGCCAGCCAGCCAGCCAGCCAGCCAGCCAGCCAGCCAGCCAGCCAGCCAGCCAGCCAGCCAGCCAGCCAGCCAGCCAGCCAGCCAGTCAACCAGCCAGCCAGAGTTCCTTCTTGCCTATACTTATTATTCTGGCAATCCATCTGATCTTCAGTAACGAGCCAGCGTAGGCAGTTGTTGGGTGAAAATAGTATTAGAAGTTAATGTACAATCACCGATTACATCATCCAAGTATGGGTGTTGAAGTTTTGCTGAACTAAAGTTCATGATTGTTGATAGTTAACTGTAGAAACTGAAGTCAATTTCATAGAGAATAAGGCTACTTTAGGTATTCAAACTATCTATATGTCTGTATTAACGGTTGATGAGACACTGGTTCGTCTGTAGAGTACTCATTTCGTTTTATGGATCACTCAGTTTTAGACTTAACATGTAGAATAGTATAAATGTACATGTTGTAAATATATGAATTTAAAAGCCATATGAGTGAACATAACTTCTTCTACTATAGGTTCAGCAGTTATATGTACATACTGAGGAATTTTACGTCAACAATATTAACATCTTACTGCTCTGAGAATTTGATTTTCTGTGCTTGTCAACACTTCCTAACATGATAAAGCAGATATGTGGTAAAGATCATTACTAGCTCAATATTAACACACTTGGTTGAAACAAACTATAACATAGAAATGAACAAGTCATTTTCCATCCTCCATCGGGTCCCCATTAACTTACCAAAACGTAACCGACTCCCAATCCTTCAGACTCCAGAAGTAGTAACAATCAGGATCAGGAACCAATTCACTTATGAGATAGAAAATGAACAAAGAGAATTACCTATGTTGGATTGTAGGATAAAACGAAAGATAGACGGTGGTTTGGATACTACCGTCTACAGAAAACCGACACATTCCAACAGGTATCTAGACTTCAAATCATCCCATCCAATGTCAGTTAAGGCAAGAGTAGCCAAATTGCCTAACTGATAGTCCTAGAAAACTGACTAGTCAGTGCAAGAACCTAAACAAGGAATTGAAACACTTAAAAGAAGGGCTAACAGTCAATAATTATACTCCTCAGTTTACTAAGAAATTCGTACGAACACACAAGAAACGGAATAATAACAGTCACATGAGTAAGAATAATAACGACAACACACAACTGGAAAGGAGTTCACAGCCTCCATTGTATTACGCTATAAGGAAGGTAAATCAGAGACTTTATATAGGATCCTCACCAAATCGTATGAGGTGACATATCTATAAAAATCAAATGTCAAAAGTACTGTGATTATATTGATATCATTATGAACAATAATTTATGCTTGAAACATTATCATCACTGTGTGTTACCAATCAGCTAAACAAATCTAATATGGAACCTAGAAGATTTAGATTTCGCAAATGACTTGTGTCTAATGTCGCACAAACATAAAGATATACAGGCGAAAACTAACAAGTTGACAGAAGAGGCGAGGCAAGGCAGCGAAGACGGCACTTTCTTCAGGTGAATGTAGAGAAGACAGAAGTGATAAAGATACCCAACCAACGCCACCGCCAACACCACCAACAACAAGCCCCAGTCACCATCAACGGGAGAAACTTGAAGGAAGTAGCCTCTTTCACCTACACCTATCTAGGCAGCACTGTTTCAACTACAGGCGGCACAGGCACAGACGATGATGTCAAATCCAGCCACGATAGGAAAGGCAGCAAGACAGGCGTTCATTAACCTGAAGCCAGTGTGAAGATCTGCTCTACTGCACTGCACTCAGCATAAAGTGTCAACAACATCCGGATTTCCAACACCAATCCAGTCAAGTTAGTGCTTCTGTATGGCTCAGAGACTTGGCGCGTCACGAAAGGAATTTCCAACAAACTACAGACATCCATCAACAAGTGTCACCTAAGCTGGCTCGTTACTGAAGCTCAGATGGATTGCCAGAATAATAAGTATAGGCAAGAAGGAACTCTGGCTGGCTGGCTGGCTGGCTGCAAAAGAACCAACCAAGAACCTATCACCCAACTAATATACACTGGAAGGAAGTGGAGATGGATTGGTCATGTACTGAGAAGACCATTTGGGGACATCACGTGCCACGCCAGTTGCACGAGTGGAACCCAGATGGGAAACGACGAGTTGGATGTTCGAGGTGAAGGTGACATTGAGGAGATGGCGTGAGGAGGAAATGAGAAGTTGTGGGCAGTCGTGGAGTGAGTGGAATGGAGACGTGCTTCTGAAGCCCTATGTTCCATTAGGAACCCAAGGGATAAATGATAATAATAAATAATATGGAATTATGTACTATAACAGTGCCCAAGTTTTATACCTATATTAATCGAACAAACTGAGATATGCTCCACAACTACTGTGATCCCATTTAAGACTTCTTAGAATCTCACCCCAGGTAATCTCATTCTTGAATTCTATCCTGTAGATATTCCTTCATTCTTATAATCTCAACAAATTCTCTTAATCTGATTTGTTCCCCAACATGCATAACATTCTATCCAGCTGTTTTACTACTCAAATTATCTTTCACAGTTTATTTCATCCAACTCTCATAAACACCTTCCTATTGTTTTTATTAAACTATCACCTCATAGTATTACACATACACAGTATAATCGTCTAGATAACCAATCATTTTGAATTGAATCTCAGTAACAAATAATTCTGACATTAAGTTTCACACAAGACTTTTCCTAGGTGATTTTCCTCACTTGTATACTGATAAGTGAAATCTGAATACTATGAATGCAAAACTCCTAACTATGTACAAATAAGTGTAGGGTCTGTAGAAGAAGAAGTTGTCGAAAAGAATACTCTTTGTTCACTCAAATGGATTTTGAATTGTAATGAAAATTTTTAAAGACATGAATTTATTTTTGAGATGAATGAGGATTCTAAATTTAAAGAAGTATTCATCACGAACTGACATCAGATAGAAAATTATTGAAAACCAAACAGCAGTCGTCAGCTGTTTCATTGTAGTATGCTGACTCTCAGGAGTACGCAGTCACGAATCCATCAGGCATAGAACTCAGGACCTTCAGGCTTCACGGTGAATAAGTTAACCATCCAGCCACTCGGTCACAGTTCAAAGGTTCACAGTTTCCAACCTCTGTTAAGATATAGCGAGATTATCACCCAAGGTCTTCAGTTGGTATCCGCTTCCCTTCCAACTAGTTGACCCCATATGCCACGACTTCTCATTAAAACTTCTTGATATCCACCTGGAAGCATTTCACTAATGAGCACTATATAGTAATGTATTTTTGAGATGAATGAGGATTTTAATTTTTCCATACTAGAATGAAACAGCTGTCCAGTGCTCCCAGGTTTTCAATTGTTTACCAACTGATATCAGTCCGTGGTAAACACCACCTCGAAAATATGTATGAATTCATCATATTATCAACTGAATGAAGTTTATGTCATACTTACATACATATCACAGGTAATTACTCAATATCAGTATAAGGGTTTTTATATGATACCGTCGTTGATTAGACCAAACTGATCGCTCTCTGTTAGCCTATGGGCTCCTGTGCGGATGCCTCGATATTGTCAGCAATCTAATGATGTTATTGATGGATCATGGCTAGCAGTGGAATCCAGGATGCGCATTTCGTCCTATTTGGGACTCACTGCTCAGCTGGATGTACCTGCTTCCCAGTGAGTGATGTTCTCACCGGGATTCGGACTCGGGAGCGATTGCTCCCAGCGCCAGCGCGTTATCCGCTACACCACCGAGCCGCGTTAACCACTTCTTGTGCGACTGCTAGCCACGATCCATCATTAACATAATTAGATTGTTGGCAATATCGAGGCATCCTCACAGTAGCCCAAATGCTAATAGAGACCAATCAATTCGGTCCAATCAACGACGGTATCATATCAAAAACGATTATACTAAAAACTATACCCGTCGCATAAGAAGTGGCTATCGTGGCTCGGTGGTGTAGTGTATGACGCGCTGGCGTTTGAAGTGATTGCTCCCGAGTCGGAATCCCGGTGGGAAGAACACTCACTGGGAAGCAGATGCATCCAGCTGACGAGTGAGTCCCAAATAGTAGGAAATGCGCATCCTAGATTCCACTGCTAGCCACGATCCATCATTGACATAATCACTTAGTATGCCTGAATTAATCACTAATCTATAAAAAGAAACAGGCAAAACGTTGAGAAACCCGAGGACCTCACATTCATGTGTATCTTTTCAACTTACACCAACAAATACTGACGGATATATGCAACAAATATGTGAAATTAATGGGAATAATACCAGCAGTTGTTCAACACCCTGTGGCAAATAGGCGACGCAATAAAAAAGTTATGGTAATGAGAGTTTCATGATGTACATTTAGTTAAGGCGTATACACATACACTACCAACGTTGGTTTGTAATCTTTTTTTAATCTTAAAATACTGAAAGTTGTTTCTTCGTTCCACTCACTTCATACAAGAGGTTAAACTTTCCTTATATGACAAGTATTATACATTGCACAAGATGTGGATTTTTGCTTCAGTGGCCTTAGCATGTGAAACTTTTGCGTTTGAACCCATAACTACTGAGCTCGAATCCCGGTGGGAATGGAGGTATATCTAATTGACTAGTCCCAAATAGAATGGAACGTATATCTTGGATCCCATTGTTAATTACCTACTGAACTATATCTGCTTATTGTTTTCTCGAGATTTATCAACGAGAGAAACTGGTTCAAATATATAGCCTGACTTATTGATAAAACATCGAGTTATCCATATCAAAATATAAATTATTCATTTCATTTTATTAATGACTTATCTTTTCTCTTCTTTCTGAGGTCATTTATTAAGGAGTAGATAATCAAATAAACCTTACCTGGTCTTTCATTCAGAAGAATTGAAACATTTTCAAAGACTTCATAACATATGCCTAAAATGTCCACTTTTTCAGTTTTTCGTTGATCAGATACCTTCAAAAAATTAAATATCCAAAGGCAGTTAAAATGGTACATGCATAAATAAATGTGTATAAATTTCTTTTCAAGAAACTCTGAACCAAAGTGAACAAGTGACTTTACTATCAAAGGACTTTACAAAGAGTAAAAACAACAAAGCTGTATCCAAACTCCTAGAAAGAATATAAAGGATGTGCGCTAGTTTTCACGATGACGTAAAGACGTAGGAAAAACAAATGTTCATGGTAAAATTTAACATCAGGTAACAATGAAAAAAATTACAACACCATCGTGAACTGTGGAATATACTAATATCTATGGATGTTAAATGATGAATAAGATACAATTGAAGAGAATAAACAGTCAAGGATGTGGATGAAGCAACATTATAAAGGAATACAAACTATACTACTCAAAAACAATAAGTAGTGTGAATGTAAAGATATAAAATAAGAAGGGAACATACCACAGGGTAAAGGAGAACAAGTGAGACAGGAACTAACGTGTACATCAGCTCGTTAAACAAACACTTTCTTCCCTTCAAGAATTCGGAAAAGAGCAGTGAACTTGAAATTTAATTGCTGATATTCTTTAGACATTGTTCGCTGTATACTACAGATTTCAAATAAGTCTGAAGACAGTCGGAGCTGAAAGTACACTCAAGTTCGTGGATTCATTTAGTTTTGTTAAGGCAGAGAGCAGCGCATCAGTTGCAATATAAGATAAACGTCTGAGAATCGTCTGTTCTGTTTAAAAACATCCACTTCGCAGTATTCTGTCGGTCACTAGCTTTGTGCCAGTCATTATTCCGTTGAAAAAGTTTTCATGTAGGGAATGAAGTAAGGATTTCCCGTTGTTGCTTGTATAATCCCATCGTTGATTTGTCTCTAATGGCATATAGGCTCTTGCATGGATGTTCCTGTATTGGCGGTATTTTCAACTTTAAGCTAATTATGGATAGCAGATAGCAGTGGAATCCAGGATTCATTACCTGGATGCACCTGCACCTCAACGAACCTTATACCCGTAACTTCAAACGCCCAAGAGTTATCCAATAAACCACAGAGTTACGGGACCTACCTATTGTGCAACGCGTATCATTCTTATGTTCTTGGTGATAATTTCTAAATTGATGAGGCGCGCGCCCTAGATTAAACTGCTAGCCACTAACCATCATTGCTGTAAGATTAAAATGACAGACAATATCGAGGCATCACCTTAGGAGTCCATATGCCGAAAGTAACCGATCGATTCCGTCCGGTCAACGACAGGATAATACAAGCCACAATATGAAAACTATATCTATCACACAATAATAGGGTATTGTGACTCGACGGCCTAGTGGATAGTACTCTGCTGTATGAAGCGATCGGTTCCGGGTTTGAGTATTGGTGAGGATGTCGATCACCGGGAGGTAATCACATCCATCTGACGAAACCCAAATTGGACGAAACGCGTGTCTTGAATTTCATTGCTAGCCAATATTCATCAGTACCATAATAAGAGATATGAATGTTAACTGTTAAACTGGCCGATTTTATAGTTATATTTTATTGTCCGTATCCTTTCCCAGACAACTTTAGCTTGGTAGCCACACTCTTAACTTCGCAGGCTTTGATTAGTAACTAGAACTGATGACCATAGGGGCTGTTATCCTGTAACTTATTCAACTACATGTACTTCAGGTGACATTCAACTCAGTGCAACACTATTTCTGTTGATAGAATGATATAAGTCTACTGGTACCTTTTATACTACTACAGGAATAAATGGATAATATTACATACAGAAATGTATAATCAGATGGAGAAGTGTAGTGAAATTCCTCTTCACATCAACAACTTACATCTAATCCAATTAAGCTCATTGCAAGTCTATGTAATTCAGTCATTTTAGTGGCAATACAAGCGCGACGACTTCGTTCAATATTTTGTTTTTTTATCTGAAATGGAATGGTGAAAATATATATGAATTATTGATAGTATTCTGATTAGCTCCATATGAGTCTAGTCAATCCTACCTAACTATAATATTAGCAAAATTCATTATGATTATGCAAACAAAAGGGTTAAGATCTTTTGAAATGTGATTGAACCGATGACCGGTTTACTTACAAGTGGACTTTAACAAGTTTCTGTCACATTTTTCTTCTAAAAATTGAAAGTTTACTCTTCAAATTCAGTCAAACCGATTTCAGATTCTTCAGATGGTTACAGCTAAATGTTGGATCGCACAAAAGTTGGCGCTCAAAGACAAAAAATCAATAACGTGGATCTTGGTGACTAGCAAAGGAATTCAACACGTGCGTTTCGTCCTATTTGAGACTCATCAGCTGGATGTACCTGCACCTGTTGTTCTCGCCGAATCTCGAACCCAGTACCCTACACTTCAAACTCCAGAGCGTTATCCAGTAAGCCACCTCTGGTGCAATGCATGTCAGTTGCTGTTGTAGCGATTATACCCCAATGGGTTAGTGGATAACGCTCTGGCGTTTGAAGCGAAGGTTACCAGTTTTGAGCCTCGATGGGAAGCACATTACTCACTGAGGTGCATGTACATCTAGTTGACGAGTCCAAAATAAGACAGAACGCGCGTCCCGAACTTCTCTGCTTATCACCAAGATCAATATAACACCATGAATATCTGGCATTATCTTGGCCTCCATGCAGGAGCCCATCTGTTAACAGAAGTCGGGTAGTCCGGTGCTGCATAGCAAAGGGGAAATTACAAATTCCCAATAAAAAAGTAATGCAGCTAACCTAGTAGAACAAAAGTCGATCACCGCCTGAATAACCCAATGGAATTCGCTTTAACTGAAGAACTGAGTTATATGGATTGGAATCACTGAGGCGGTTGCATTCCTTTCAAAATTGCATATATGTCTTGCTGACAAAAATACCCGGAATTATAAAATCTGAGTCCAAGACTTCCTTCAGGTTGTCTTCAATTACCTAATATCAAATAAAGTGCACCGTGATCGGTGACTACATAGAATTCAGTCAGAACCCAAGACTGAACAGCATTAAATTGTTTACTATCCAGTGACGAACCGATGTAGACTCCAAATTACCGTGTTCGCTTATGCCTTACTTAAATATCATCCCGTTTGCACATGCCAATGACAAAGTAACTCTTTAAATGAATGTGATTTCAGTCTTACCAAGTATTTTCATAAAAATTCTAATTTCTTTCCTTAATTTTAAAGAGTAAAAATTTAGTAAACACCAGTAACTAACTACATTTTAACCACATTCTCATACAACGGATATTTATACGGATTTACCATCAAGCTAGAAACACGGTGGTCTCTGGTTCGAATCCGGTCGCTGTCTAAATCTTCCTTTCACCTTCAATCATCATCCAATATCAGTACTAGTCTGCCAAACCACGACTATCTCACTCAGATAGTCAAAATGATAATCAAAGGGTATTTGTCATGATATCTGGGGGCAGGGAGCGGAGGGTAAAAAGTCAACTACACACTCATCATCATATTAAGCGAGTAACTTTCAAGGCCGCCTTAGCAACTACTGTGTTAACCAATTACATTCATTTAACCTACGAAAGACTACCTTCTCAGTCGAAATTCTGAAATTCAATTGGTTAATTTAACAGTTACTAGGGTAGCCTTTAAAGTCAATCTGTTAAACTGATGGAATAAAACCATATTATGCAGTAAAACAAAAGATGAATAGTTACATGTTAGATACCAAATATTTAGATAGATGACTAACAATATGACCACTTTGAATAATTCTCACTTATGCCATAAGCTGAGTATTTTTTAATCAATTCTCTGTGCCATTTAAACTTCAAAAGTTTTCACCTGACATCACCTTCAAGAATCTTAGTTTATACGATTTTTTAGAGCAATTTTGATTGGCTTAAATCTGATCATTCATAATGTTCAAACCTCCAGTTATGAATCCTTAGATGAGTACTCTTCAAAGTGTCAGTATCTTAGACATCTATCTGTCCGTAATAAACATCACATTTATAGTCAAAGCATACACGGTTACACCTAAAATCATAGATTCTAGGTAGAATAAGCTGTGGTTCCTTACCGTTCAACATTCAATCAATATTTCCAACTAAACGTAATGCATAGTTCCAAAAGTGTGTTCTATATAATCTATTTCATTCGATTACTCTGAGAACCATAAAACACTACCATAAGCTGAGCCGTAAAACAGGCGAATTAATAAATGTCTCTATCCCTTGAGTTTGAGATAGGTTATAGTTACATCTTACTTGGTTGTTTCGTCACAAAACCAAGTGACTTCATCAGCATTTATTCCCATGATGTAGTATCGTTAGTTGAAAGAGGTGAAGGAAGATTAGAAAGTAATGCTGTTGGAAGTGGATCTCAGTCTGAGGAAACTTGAGTGTTGATAGAGTTGTGAGGGCGGTTGACACTTCCCGACTGCCTATACCGTGGAAGGCTATTTCTTCTTAAGGTACCTGAAAGAGATTTGTGTGCCCTCAGAGCCCATCGGACATTTGCTTGAAGCCTGTCACACTCAGCCTTTTGTGCATGATTATTTTGAACTTTTTTTGTTTTGGGGCCGGATGGTGGAAAAGAAACGACACATGCACCAACATCGCCGATCAGGTGGATCGTGGGTTGTGGTGGAGTGTTTTTTTTTGGGGGGGGGGCAACCTTTTCTAACCCCCCTTCCACTGAGAAGGCAGCATCAGGATGGCACTCCTGGTCATCTAAACGAAATACATTAACCTTACTGCTGTCACACCTCAGCCAGATAGCAGCAGTACCCCTTCGCCCTCAGACCTCATCATAGTGTAGTAATTTACACCAAAAAGGTAACTGCTTTTCGTCTAACCACTATCCAACAGGCCTCTATGGTATGGTAGGACCTCGAGGGAACAAGTGTTCCACTAGCATAGCTCATTGGGTCATTGTGATATGCAAGCCCAACCACCAAGTCAAGTTAGCAGCTATCGGTCGGGCAACATTTACTCCATAAAGAAGTGAAGTATTTTCAAGTGTTTCCAAATTACCATTTAATCACATAGTCTTTAAGAGTGAAAATCGACCTGTCGTCATGACTAATGACGTTTTATTGAAAAACTAACTTCTTTATTCCTTTTGAATACACTGGTCAGAGTAGTCGATTGGGGTCAATTAGACTATCTGAGGGGTAATCAAGATAGGAAGATCCTAGTAAGATTTTGAATCTGGAAAAACACCTGGTTGTAGATATACTTGAAGTTGTACATAATCACACAAAAAGACAGTGACAATTCTTAAGTCTTAGTGAGGTTGTGGGTCGGATGAGGAGACTGATCGCCAAACCTCTACCTCTTCAATCAAAACGAAATACGTTCACTAGTATATGTTTCAAATATGTGACAATTTTTGCTAACTATCACAAAAAAAGCCAAAAGAATTAGAGTTGTCTTGATATGATTATGGACAACAGATTGTATCCAAAGCGTAATCCAGTCAATGGATATTGTTCCACTATGCGAAACATCTATTCGTGGGAATCACATTCTAACACAATGGTCAAGTTTTACTCTCATATGTTTGCATACAACTTTCTATAACAATAACACAATTAGAATCGTAATTTATAATTTGTCATATGAAACAGATAATCATTAAAACTTACACGTCTTGTTTGTTCTCTAATTTCCGGTGGAACTGTTGATTTTCTACCTCTCTTTGAATATATTTTCACATTGTTTTCTTTGTTTGTTAAAAGAACTTTTTCATTGCTTTCATTAGTCTCTAAATAATTATGATCCACAATATTTTGACTAGTTTGTTCTTGCATTTGTAAATATCCCAAAGACTTACTTTATTTTACATCATATATATGATAACCCCTTACAACAGTTACTCATTTTGTATCCAATCGGATTTTTACTAGTCAATCATAGTGTGGTGGTAGGGATTACGAAATTAATTCAGGGGATATTTGCTACAGGATACTGTAAACATCAAGTGTAATTAACCAGCCAATCACTGATAAGTGACTAACAGATAATTTGACAAGTGTATTACATCAATGGACTGAATGCTGATTGGTTAATTAGGTTTAGAAACCAAATAATATTTTTTCAGCATGTGCTTGAATAATTTCCGGGCTTCCAGAGGAAATTAGTCAATTCTTTTGGTGGTGGGTGGTCAAGTGTTAAAATAGAATAAAAATTCGACTAGTTATGCTCATATTCTAGACGATGGTAGAGCGATAGCGACAAAATTTTGTTTATCTTAAGAGGAAAATTTTATCGTTAAGCAAACAGTTGTAAAATAATTTCTTCCATTTCGCTTTTAGATAAAGTGAATACGCGGATTTCGGACAAGGCTCTGTTGTTCGAAGCGGACGCTCCCAAGTCCTAATCCCGATGGGAACAATATCACTCACTGGGAGACAGGTACATCCAGCTGACGAGTCCCAAATAAAACGAAATGCACATGCTGAATCCCACTGCTAGTCGCTATCCATCATTACTACAGCTGAAGTGAAGAAACTTCATTAGTAGTTTCAGTTGTTGCTAGGGTGGCCTTTAAACTCGCCACAAATTCTACCCATTTAATTTGTTTCAGCTTTTTAAATGTGTCTTGTAAGTGTACCACATACTTTTGCACATTTCTGAAATGTTTTCAACCAGTCGAAGAAAAAAACGTAGTTCTAAGTGGAATAAGCTTCTAGATGCCCAAGAATACAACATATTTCTATGTCTTGGATACTTATCTCAAATAGCAGACTGTTTTACTGACGTAATGAACCACCACCACCACCACCAATAACTATTTCTTTTGGAAATACTGTTCTGGGAGTGAATTTGTTGAAAGTTTAACGCACTCAGAACTCCATACTGTATAGAACATATTGTTTGAAATAAAGCGACTATTAATAATAATAATAATAATAATAATAATAATAATAATTATTATTATTATTATTATTATTATTATTATTACTGGGTGATGATTGAAGGTGGAATGAAAATCTGGACAGCAGAGAGATTCTAGCCAGCGATCAGTGAGTTTACTGCCCTGTTGAAGAAGTCAACAGAGAACCTGGCACACAGGTGTACCGGCTTCAGTTACCACACTTCACAGCAATACACAGACGGATAGAACATGAGTGATATTAAAGTAGACGAAGTTGTGTCAGAGAATGAACAATTTAAAGATAACGGTTAATGCAAATATTCCAGCTATAGAAAACGTCAAGGAGTGAATACATCTGCGCCATTATGATTGATTTTAAGTCATGTCTCCAAGAATTCCCAACCACTCATTCCTACCTCCTCGGGGACCCCAACCAGATAGTCTACATCTCCCTATATGGTTCAGACCAACAGTAAGATACTACATGCGCTGGCGTTACATCTTGGTGTGACCATTCTTAACTCACTTCTAATCTAATCGAGCTTCCTCTAAGACTACAAGTTGAGATAGGCAGTCTATCGGCAAGCCCACTACAAATCCAAGCCATCTTAGTCGACTAAAGTTCACAACTTCATTAATCTACTTGCCTGTTTTACTTAGTACCCTTCGCCTAACCTCAACATTGCTAACATAAAGATTTCACCAAATGTCAACAATGCTGTGAAGACATCTATGATCAAAACCCTGTAACGGCTTCATGTCATCTGTTTTCGATGATCATGTCTCACAGCCGCATAACAGGACAGAACGAACTGCAGTGTAGTATACTCGTCCTTTGATAGGTAGTCGGATATCTTGCCAGTTACCGTAGCAGATGACATATGTTAGCAAGTGTGAAATAGGCTTTCTATATCCGGCGTGTTTGCGCTGATGCAATTCTATAAATAAGTGAAGTGAATGACACATTCCACATCTTCACTCACTATCATTACATTGAGAGTTGTTGTAGATCAATCTTGAAGCATAATATTACATTTGACAGGTGGAGAATACGTGCTAAATATACTCAGATTTCTGCTTAACACATCCTGAAGACCTTGAATTTTATCAGTTCAACAGTGCACACCCACAACTGCATCAACAACTGAACCTGGAATCTGCTTGCTGGGGAACCTGAGGAAACGGATTTGATCCTTTGTGAGGTCGTTGGGGTTGTGCCGTTGATCTGTCTGATACCAGGTGGAAATAGCTGTCCAGTGCTCCAAAGTTTTCAATACTTCTCCGGTTGATGTCAGTCTGTGATGAATACGAAATTGAAATATTATATTATAGTTAAGAAAGAAAGAAAATAGGACTGCATGCATTTGGAAGATCGAAGACGTATGCAAATAACTTCATTGTATATATACCGGGCAACCACTCAACCGTCTTCAACCTAATCGAGCTCCCTCTAGGACTACAAGTTGAGATAGGCAGTGTATCGGCACGCGCAGTACATATCCAAGCTGTCTCAGTCGACTAAGGTTCACAACTTCATTAATCGACTTTCTTGTCTTGCTCATTACCCTTGGCCTAACTTTGATAAATAGTGGAACATTTCGCTTCTTATGAATTGATTTATGACATCAAGTATGTTGCCACTAGCTACACATCTACCTCTTTCTCCTTCTGGCTTGAAAGATAGAAAGGAGCTAAAAAAAAAAGGTGAACATTCACAGATCTTCAGTCAATACTAACTAATTATTGCTATTTCATCAACTCATGCACTTGGGAATACCAATTACAAAAGTTTAGTGGGACACCTATCCTGTGCATTCAGTAAAGCTGTGAAAACGTCATAATTTGTGCAAAAATCACTTTGAAATGATAGACAAAAGGTGCTTTGCCTAGTAGTGAAGAAAGTAGATATTATTATCATTATTATTTATCCCTTGGGTTCCTAATGGAACATACGGCTTCAGTTGCACGTCACCGTTTCACTCTCTTCCCTCCAGTCTTTTCAACCTAGCTCCACGACTACCAACAAGCTTTCATTTCTTCCTTACATGATCTCTTCCATGTCACCCTCACCTCGGACGACCAACTCGTCGCTTCCCATTTGGGTTCCATTAGAGAACCTGGCCTGGCCTGACACATGATATCCTCAATCAGTCTTCTCAATGTATGCCCAATCCATTTCCGCTTTCTTCTTCATATTTGTTGGGTGATAGGTTCTTGATTGGTTGGTTCGTTGCCAGATTGAGTTCCATTTTGCTGATTTTTTTTCTAACCAGCTGATCTTCAGTATTGAAAGCAGATAGGAAACCTGAAAAATACGGAATAACTAATGATGTACTAGCTACCGCAAGAGTAAAATAAGCTCCAACCTTGTATTTTAACTAGACGCTGAAATATCATAAATGAATTCATAAAGTATTTGAAGATAAAATACATCTTCGGTTTAGTTACACAGTAAAGCAAAAGAATAAATAGGAAATTCGTAATGTACACAATGACCATATAGTTTCTGAATGTTTGTACCATTTTTAGTGACAGAATAACATTGGATACACTTTTTTTCTTTAATAGTAATAATAATAGTTATACTAGAATATCGTGGAGACATTTCACTCCATCATTTCTCAACATTTGCCTAAAACCTTGAGAAATAAAAGTTCACTCTGAAACCTTGTGCATATTCATGCAATAGACTATGTACTACCCCATTGTATAAGGCATTATGTTACCACCTGACTGTTTAAATCACCTCGGTAGATGGAGTGATATTCGAAACTATGTTCCATTGATTGAAAAGTTAACTTTATAAACTAATGAGGAACAATTCCTCAGCATAAAACTTAAAATAATTTTATTTTTGAATGATACAGAATGTTTATCTAGTTGAATTAATTTTACAGAAAATTGTCGGTTTATATAACATAACATTAAAACTGTTTTACATTGTAAGCGGTTGATGAGAATCTTCGAAATACTATAACTCTTGTCCTTGCTCTATATAAATACCAACATTAACTCATATATTCTGATAATAAGCTTAAAGAATACTCAAAACTCTGTGATCCAATAAAGCAAACTGTTCCAAATGGACGTTCAATCTTCGTAAATATTTCTATCAAACATTAATTGTTAAGGTATTACAGTTTCAGTTAGTAGCTAATATTTTTAATTGTATAAAAATTCTATCTAAACACTATCAATCATCTAGTTTTTTTTCTAATTGTCCACTTATAGGCAGTAGCCGTAAATATTTGATGAATACTGAGGGAGTTATAGAGATTTGGAAATATTTCAAGTTGTTATTCACCATAGACTGATATCAGTTGGAGGAACAAAGAAAACCTGGGAGCACTGGACAGCTGTTTCATCCTAGTATGCGGTCGTGGGTGCGCACTACTGAGGAGTCCCATAGTAGTCGGACGAAACAGCTGTCCAATACTTCCAGGTTTTCCTTCGTTCCTCCAACTGATATCAGTCTACGATGAATAACAACTTCAAATATTCGATGAATAGTTAGTGTCTGAAAAAAATAACCTTTAAAATTCTAAATCGGTAATATACTAATGAGACTTTTAGTCTAAGCAACACTTCACAAGTTTATGTTTGCTTGATCTTAATGGAAAAGTGATATGATATCATCCTTTTTCCATGAAATCACATAAGAATCTTTCATTTCATTATGAGTAGTACAAATAACTTTTGGTAAGTGGGAAAAAGTTAAGCATATCACTTCTTATTAGTGATCTTCAGGGCACGTAATGATCACAATTAATCGAAGTATATGAAAATAGTATCCACTTCAAGGTGACTTTCACCTATACTGACACTTTATTCAGATTCATTTCTTTTCTAATGAAACATAGGGATTCAGTAGCACGTCTCCACTCAACTCTCTTCTCTCCAATATTTTTAACCTCCCTCAACTACAGCCCACAA